TCTGAGTTGTCTTGGTCGGTTTTGTTAATTCAATAATGTCATTCAACTCGTGGTATATAGGATACACGACTTCAAAGTCCAAATTTCTTACACCTTCTTTTGTTGGAGGTTTTTGGGTTATGTCAAACAAATACAGATTAGCTCCGAATACTTGGGTAGAACTGACCTTAAACAAAGGATCCTCCAAGGCTAATTCCATCCAATGTAGATTTTCCTTGTTCTCAGGGTACATTTTCTTTCTGTTTGCTCATAGTTTGTCCACATGTCTTCTAAATCTTTATTCCACTGTCCGCTGGAGTCTGTGTGTCATACGTTCCTACCATCACGATAACGTGTGTGAAATGAATGATATTGTAACTCTGACTATTCTTTTATGTCACTTATTGTAATCTAATTAGGATGCACTAAAAATAGAAACAAAGTCAATGGGCTTGCCTAAACTTGCCCGTAATCACTCAACCATGAACCATAAGTAATCATCAACATAAACTTTTTAGAATGAATTCTTTTCAGGTCACACAGGTCAGGCTATAAATTGACATCGTTCTCACGTTAAGGACTCATTTTTATCTCACCTCTTTTCAAGGTAACATGTCTACACTCGAAGACTCTGTCTCTGAACCTATCGAAGAAAACACCCCCACAGGGGATCAATCTGAAACCCCTGAGAAAAATATGGAATCTACCGTGAAAAGTAAGAAATCTACCCTAAAAAGTTACCGTCAAAAACTGCAGGCCATCCAGGCACGCATCAAGTATCGTGAAAAAGCCATCAAAGGATTCAGACACCATCTCAAAAAGGGCACCTTTCCTAAACGGTTCAAATCATTACGGCCCTTCCCAAAAATGGAATCACCTGAAACACAATCCGTGGTCAATGCCGCCTGTGAACAAGTGCATTGTGTCATTTTAGACCAAATGATTTTGGATGAGGAGAAAAAACTGACGCAAGATCAAACCAGTTATGAAGCCCTGAGAAAGGAACGTGAAGGTGAACGCTCTCAGTTACTCAAGACCTCAAAAAAAACCCCAGAAAATGTCTGTAACTCAGCTCATGCAGGAACTCACCGAGTTGCAGTCTAAATATGCCCAGCTCTATCAACAATTAAACAACACCCAGTAAAAATAAAATACACCTGATTCAACTGTAAACTTTGTGTGATTTTTTACTGACCTCCTAAAACTAGTTACACGTATAGTGAAAAAATTTACAATGCAGTAAACGTTAACTGTCCTCTTACATATTTAGCTTTCAACCGTAGGTCATACGTTTGTCCTTCAATCAGAGTCTCTGACCTGGGGTGATTGACTAAGACTTTCCATGTCCCTTCCATGGTTTTGGTGACTTGCGGGTTTAAATGTTTCACGACCTCTGCGCCTCTAACGAGGACAGTGTTTGACTTGACTGTAAACCTTTGTAGACCACCACTGTCTTGTCCTTGATATGTGCCTTGTATGGGGTGTGTTAGAATATACTCAAAATAAGCAATCACTTTACCCACACGAGGATCAATGTTTTCAATACAGGTAGAACCCCCAAAAGTACGGTTTCCATTGATCTTGTTCTCCAGAAAGAAGTAAGCTTGTATGTCTGTTTGACCACAGGGGCAAATCTTGTGTTCGTTCTCTTCAATCGGGCGTGATTCCACAAACATCCATTCGCCTTGGAAATTCTCTTCTTCGCTTAAATGTTGTAGATGGAAAAACAAATTGATGTCGTGTTCCCTGCAAATACGTCCATGGACTTTCACATGTGCTTTTGCCTGTTGTTTTGTCTTGTAAATGATGCGTTGCAGTGCCAACATTTGTAGCAGGATTTTACCTCACTACACACAGTTTCCAAATGAATTTTCATCCCCTGTTTTCCTGTGAATACTTGATGACATTTTGGACAGGTAAACCTTTGCGGAGTCTTCGAATGTTGCTGTTGTATATGCCATTGCATATGATGCTTCCATGAAAATGAGATAGGGCAGTATGGACATTGATAACGATTCTCTGTTGTACCGCATTGCTTCTTATGATGAAAGAATTGGCCTTTGCTCAATTCTTTTCCACATGTAGGACATGGTCTTGGATACGTTACTTTTGGCATGTTGCAAATCTGTTATGTTTGACCCAAATTCCAACACCCTGATATACTCAATCATTGTTCCTGGGGCAATGACGTCAACGGCAAGTCTGAGCGTGAAAGTCCGTTGGGATCTTATATGTTTAGGCATGTTTTTCGTAAATGACTGTAATCACCAATTTTATGTTATTAGCTGGTGAAAGCAGTTTAGCCAATAACCAATTATAACTCAACCAATCAAACATGGCTAACATGGAACGCGATAATGACACCGTCCAAGGAAAAAAAAAAAAGCGAAGACGGGAATATTTGTCAGCACTCCTAAACATTTTGTGATGGGAGAGCAATCGGTTCCACTGTATGAAGGGTCAAATAACATCTTGCTTTCATGGATAAATGTCGGTTTCTTACCCAATGTTGTACTGCACGTAATAAACCATCGCTCATTGACATCAACAAATTTTCGTTCTTTTCTGGTATTCTGTGTTGATGCACTGTGAGTTCCAGCTGAATTTCTTCTTGCATAGCATCGTTATTCCTCACTACTCTGTCTGCGAATTCTGTTAACTCCACTGAAATCACTGGATTGTACAGATTATACCAATGTCCACTTTTTAAAACGTTTTTCTTGCCAATAGGCTATTTGCTCCAAATCTTGCATAGACACCGACTGCATTTTTCCTCCACACATATACACACTCACATTCACGCTTGTTTTATGGTTGGAATAAAGTGAGTCATCACAATTTATCTACACTCATATCAGTCCTTCTCCTAGTTAGGGTTAAAATGCTAATAAGGTTAGGGTTAAATCCTAGCCTCTTGGGATTAGGGTTAGGGTTAGGGTTAGGGTTAAAATGCTAATAAGGTTAGGGTTAAACCCTAGTCCTTTGGGATTAGGGTTAGGGTTAGGGTTAGGGTTAGGGTTAGAGTTAGGGTTAGGGTTAGGGAAATTTTCTCTTTTAGTTTAGGGTTTGGGGAATTTTCTCTTTGGTTAAGGGTTGGTGTAATTTTCTCTTTGGTTTAGGGTTTTGTGAATTTTTACACACACACACACACAAGTAACCACACCTGTAGTTTGTAACAACACATACTTTATTGGTTGGTGCCACGATGCAAACCTTACCTGTATGTTACAACGAAATAGTGAAAAACTAAACTTTTCCAAAAATTAACTAGAGCTCGCGCTTCCAAGCTACTGTGTTCTATTTTCAACAAAATAAAAACTTAACTCATGCAAAAATTACAATCTAACATAGCCATAAGGATACGTCACCCCTGTTCCTTTTTCTACCACACGCTTATCCCAATTCACTTGGAATATTTTGATCATATCCTCTAAATGAATACTTTTGACTTTACTATTCCTGACAAAATGATTAAAAACCGTCGTTTTTAGCTGTCGTTTGCTTTCTTCAGGGTCTTTCAGTTCCAACTGAATGTGATTCAACATGGACCCACAATTCAACACTTGTCTCACAGCATGTGTGTTTTTAACCCTTGCTTTTGCATTCGGTCTTGCCTCCATTGGTCTTATAACTGTAGGACTTCGGTCCTGCTGATCCGAACTCTTCTATGGTATCTCCCCCTGTCTCATCTGTAAACTGACCTAAAAATTTGCCCAGTGGTAATCTGTCTTGACCGTGTTTGCTCTTATAGATGACTGAGTCTGTATCGTAATACAGGACTCTTTTTTGCAATACATCCAAGGCTTCATACAACTTGAGTCTAGCTATGGCTGTGGTAAACAAGGCAATAAAAATATTACCCCTTGTATTAGGAGCCCATGCGCCTTCTTTTTTGACTGTAGTGACTTCCAAGACGTCTTCACTATACACATTGACGCTTTTGACAATGATGGAATCATCGTTGATCAACTTTTCCCAATCTTCTACTTTTTGCAATGTGCTGGTGGTGGGTTTATTGTCACCCTCGCCAAATTTGCCCCAGAAACTGTTCAGCATAACCTTCGCCACTGCTTTTCGACCTGGATTGACCTCAATCTTGTCTGAATCCAACTTAATCCCTTCATGTACTTCATACTCAGCAATGTACGCTTCCTTTTGCTGGTCCGTTACACAATCACTTGGCCAGCCTGCACTTTCTTGCTTTGCCTTCAGAAATTTGTTGACGTAGGGAGCAAACAATCCTGTCTTTCTTTTGTTCTCACTCCAATGCCACACCTCATGAATCTTCAGAATTCTGTAGCCTTTTTGGACAGCCATTTTGAGTTCTTCGGTACACCAAACACCGATCATTAGTCGTTCCTTGTCTATATGGTTACAAAGGTTGGTTCTTTCATGCCATGGTTGTTCCAATTGTTCTTGGGCACAGGTAGCACACAAAGTAAACATACATTTGTCATCAATTTTCATAGGCAATACGGGATGAAACAAACCTTCAGGAGCCAGGATATCCACTTTTGCCACACCAAAGTACCTGTCAATGTTTTGCTCTTCGGGGTTTTTCAGGATGGTGGGGTGACCCAATGGATAAGTCCCATATTTGTTGACCCATGGGTACAATGACGTGTAATCCACATAGCTGATCTCTTCATCTTCGGTTGTTTTGGAGTACAGGGTCGCAGCACCAGTACGGCCTCCAAACAAGGCTTCTTTGGGGTTTAAAGGCGCCGTCCATTCCAAATCTTTGATCATGTCTTGTAACGTAGGATCATTGACCAGTTTTCGTTTGAAGTTACATTCCCATTCCACTTTGACTGTGTAACCAGCTTTCCTTAACACCTCTGTTTTCTTTTGAGTCAATTCATACATTTCCTCGACAGTGCGGTCTGGGTGGTGCCAAGTTTTGACATGTCGATTGTTTGGCTTACATTTAGGGCAGCCATGAAACTCGCAGCCCTGAAACTCGAAGACTGTTTTCTTGATGGGATCATAGCCATCTACACGTACTTTCCCCCACGATTCTATCATGAGAGTTTGTTCCCCCCCATTCGCTGCATGCTTGATTCTATTGCCACCCAGCTTTTGGTCTTGGATGTGCAGCCACTGAAATCAATCTTGCTTTGAGCAGGTTTCACCCCACTCCATCCATGGGGTGGTTCCACAGCAATGGAGTAGGGAATCATTTGGTTATTCCGCCAAAAGTTGTGACAGGCACTGGCAATGGTGATATTTTCTTTCAACGGATTAAACTTGCACTCCTTTTCAAAATCGGCAGCAAAAGTTAGACAGCCTTCCTTCAGTAACTTGACATCGCTTTCACAGTACTCCAACAGTTCTTTTTTAAAGTTCCAGCTTTCTCCTTTCAATACTTCTTCGCCATGCCATTTTTCTACAGCTTCTTTTTTCTTAGTGTTCATGCAATTAGTCTCATAATACTTCAGGTCAGGCAATGGTCCTTCGTAGTTCTGGTTTTCTTTTCTGTTAAATGAATGAGGAAAGTAGCCCTTCTTCAGCTCAGTCAAACCAAACGTCTTGGTAAAATTCTCCAACGGCATATTCAAAAAGGACATAGAGTCCTTGAACTTTAGTCTGTCACATTCAAAGTACAAGATCTTCTGACCCGTCATCAGCACTTTAGACACTTTCAGGTTCATGTCATACAGCTGCTTGATGATAAACACGCCATCAAATCCTCTAAAATTGTGAAAGTATACTTGCATTTCTAGTTGATTCCATCGCAAATTGTTTTCTTTTTCTAGTTCTTTTAGCATTGCCATGAGTCTGTTATAAAAGTCACGTAGACATGTTCTACCCCAACACTGGTATTTTTCGTCTGAGGTTTCTCGTTCAAAACAAATGAGGTTTGGTGTAAACTGCCTTTGGTCATCAATACAACATTCAATGTCTGCAAATACGAGCTCTTTTTGTTTGTCTTTCTGCCCTTCTGTTAAGGAAAAATGTTCCCATTGGAACTCTTGTAAATGATCCTCGGGAATCTCAGTCACATCCACCCCCAAATCTTGTAATTGTTTCTTCACTGCTTCGATGGTTTCTTGTCTACTTTGTTCGTATGCTATTTGTTCGTCTTGGGTTGGTGGTTTTTTTCTTGCCATGGCATCTAACCGTTCTTTAATCGTGATGGGGTTTTTTGCAGCCTCTTTCACTTTTTTCCCTTCTTCCGTGGTCATTTCTTTGATAGCCTCTCGAATTCTTTCTTCTGCTTTTTGTTTGTTGTCATAACGTTTATTTGCCTTGTAAATGTCACTCATAATAAAACATTGGTGGTTATACAGATCCACATAGTTCAAACAATTGGCACATTGACCGTGTCCACATTTATGAGACATTCCTTGTTTGACTTCGTAGGAGACCATACAGGTATGACATTTGCGATGCATCTCACACACACTTTTCATTGGTTTCTGGGGTGGAATCGTCAGATCATTATCCAACGCTACTTCTTTTATTAAGTCTTTTTCCATCTTGCTTTCTTCTTTTTTCTTTTGAACCAAATGGTCCCGGTAGCAATCTTCCCCATAAAACGATCTGCCACACGTACGACAAGTAATGGTTGGTTTACTCCATCCTGTGTAGTCAGGACATCCCTCTGATTTTTCATTTCTTCGCCGCATACAGCTAGGGCAATTGGCATGCAAACAATTATGGTGTTTGGCATCTTCTGTATTGTAACCCTTGCAACAATAACGACAAAACTTGCAACGGTTCATCACAGCTGCCACACTGTACAATCCATCGTAATGGGCTTTTGTTTTTCCATCACTGTCCTCATAATAGGTTTTCACAATCTGGATCACTTTAGGCGCAAACTTGTATTGTTCTCCAGTAAATATGACACCACCACGTACTGGGTCAACGACAATCAGCTGGTAACCCATAGGACCCAAATAGTCTTGAAATTTTTGAATTTCTTCGTACCCACATGATCCTTCGGGCACGCCTGCCGCTGTGTATAGCTGTTTGGCTTCTTTCAGTTGCTGGCTGTTCTTGCCTCGATCTTGGCGAATATTTTCGTAACAGTTCTTTTCACCTGCTTTTTTCTTGGCATACTCCCTCATAACTACAATCGCACGGCCACAACACAATTTATCCTTGTTTTTGATTTCATGGACACAGCGCAATTCTTTGACCACTTCTTCCCAGATTTTGGCTCCTGGCTTGTAGCCTGCTCGTTTTCCGCCTTTCACATCACGACGTAAAAGAGTCATGGAGGCTGAAAAGCCTCTGTCGGACGAAATAAATTCCCCCGAATTCAAGACCCTCGCAATATGGTCTAACATCGATTGCGTCATTTGCAAACGGTGAAAGTAATCGTCGGCAGGGATATGCCATGTTTCACCGGTATTGCTGGACTCTTTGAAATGTTCCTTGCTTCCAATTTGAAGTGCCAGGTCATAGTTCTTTAGGTCAATCTCCATGTCTTCCACCATAGTATCCATGCCTTCGGTCAACGCATAAACTGCTTCTACCCCTAAATCTTCCTCTGGTTTTGGGTCCCGTACATAGTCCAACGTAAACGTAAATTTTGATCAATGACTTTTGCCCTTTTTCCATTTTTTAGGAGTCCCCATCTTGGCAATGTTGGCTTGAAACAACGGACCTGTACCGCCATCAGTCTTGGTTTCACTGCTCTCGGGTTCCCCCTTTGCCATCTTCACATCAGGATTGGAATCTTCAGCTGAACGCTTGGTTCCGCGGGTGCTCACTGCTCCGCCGGTCTGTTCTTCAACATCTAATCGCGGTATCTTTCCAGAATTCAATAACTCTAGACGTAAGAGTTCAGCACTTTCTTCCGCCTTCCGCTTCGCTGCTTCGGAGTGACACTTCTTGACGTGAGCCACCATTTTGTCTTTACGACAAAACGTTTTTTCACAATGTAGGCATGGTGCTCTTGTATTAGTACCGCAATACTTTTTGTGACGGAAGAAATTTCCTCGATTTTTAATTTTGGTTCCACAGATAGGACAAGGACGTGGGTAAGTAATTGCCATGATGAGAGGTTTGCACAGTTCAACGAATTGTAATCAAATGATCTGTATGTGTTGCTGTCCCGCTTTTATATCCCCCGCTAGCCCTCTGTTCTAAAAATAGTATCAATTTCTGCTGACTCAACAAAACAAAAGGTGACGTCAATGGGCTTGTTCAAACTTGCCTGTAATCACTCAACTGTGAGTTTGTGTTAGGGTAAGATTTTAGAGTAAGGGAAAGTTTTAATCCTAAACATTGCATCCAGCTGATTTAGCTCTAAACACTGCACCCAACTGATTTAGGTCTAAACACTGCGCCCAACAGATTTTAGTTAGGTTTAGCAAATTTAGTTAGGGCTAGGACATTTGGTTAGGTTTAGGATATTTAGTTAGGGCTAGGACATTTAGTTAGGTTTTGGAAATTCACTCGATAGAATTAACTGCAAAAATGGTTACAGAACAAAGACCAGATTGACTTGACTGACTTGCTGGTGATACTGGTTTTTTCCAGTATCCCCGATGTCCCCGATGTCCCCTCACTTTTGTTCGCCCAAATACCCCCTTATACTACTCTTACCTACTGATGGAAAGAGCAAGGTGTCTTCCTCAAATAAATGCAATAAAAATCTTGGGCAATCCTGCAGGGAAAATGTTTGAACGCCAAACAAAAGCGACCGTTGAGGTCAAAACACGCCATTTTGTCACGACACTCGAAGGGGAAAAACAACGATACTCCCGGTTAACAAGATACTTATGCGTTTTTTCGCACGGAACTCTTTCCATTTGCCGAGACAATTTGTTTCTAAGCAGCTATATGCCTTGTTCTGTGCATTTTGTTGGGAACCGTTTGCTAACAAATGACATATTGCGTCTTGCAATATCTATACTCTTCGTATTTAGTTGTCGCGGTCGAAAGCGCGTTGAAACGTCATAGCTTTTTAGAACTCAAAATCATTCACGCAACTCAACGTGGAATTGTAACTTTCTTAATATGATACCAAGAAACCCTATTTTTAAACCTACCATTTTTTTTAAAGCCTATCAAAGATGTGCAACAGCATACTGTCTTCCCATCCTGTGCCAAATACTTGTACATCACCGAGTAGGAATGTCACGTTTGCGTGACACAGAGCAGGAAGTGCAATGCACTTCAAACCGGAAGCTGACTGTACAATTTAAGTAGGCCTAGGCAGTGATTCAAAACTATCCCAGCCTGAAACTAGGCCGTCTTAGGACGTCTCGTTTTCTCTTCTTTATATTTTAGCTGATTAGATCTTTTTTCTAGAGATCCAACGTTGAAAACCAGCAGGATCTACGTCTACAGCTTCTGAAGTTTATTTCTTAAAGTTTCATAGTGTGCAACAAGTTCAATAGAAACGTTTATAACTGTGAACAAAAATCTTTAAAAAGGCTCTAGCTTATCACTAGTTAAAATATGAGAGAAAATAAACTGAATTGACTGACTGAACACACTATGATAACCTTCCACTTCCGGTTTAAGGAATAAACTGCACAAGCCGTGGACGAAGATCCTGCGTGCTGGTTGTCATCGTTTGATCTCTAGAAAAAAAGATCTTATCAGCTAAAATATTGAGAAAATAAAACTGAGACGTCCTAAGACTACTTCATCGTGTATCACTCGAGTACACAACACCGTCAGCAGTTGCAAGATTGGCAGGAAGCTTTGTCGCTAAGTTTGCTATGATGTTGTCATCCACAAAGAGAACATCTTAAGCTCTTCCAGTGAGACAGCATTCAGCCTTAATCCTTAAACCTGAAACGGACAGCAGAGGCGTGCAGCGTGCTACCTTTAATGTACGTACTGTTGTACCATATTTGGAATATTATCACAGGCCAGGATACCCATCCATTATGGAAATGGCGTCACATCTGGGACATCCATATTTGGAATCTATCAACATATGATATCCAACCGATCAAAACGCAAGAAATTTTCCAGTGAAATTCCTTGTGAATTTCAAAAGAAAATGTGTTGAAATATCGATTATTTATGAATTTAATTTAAAAATAGTGAAAATATGCCAAAAATGCGCTAACTTTGAGAGTGGCTTACTCTCCGAAAAGCTGCTCAGAATCGAAAAAGTAGCTCAAAATCGTACAAGTTGCTAAAAGGGTACAGCGCAGAATCTGTCTCGGTCTAGAATTAAATTTAACCGAAACTTTGTTTTTCTTTCGGTTGTCTTTAACACTTAGAGTCAGTAACATCCATAACCCCAATTCCACACGCCGACTCCCTGCCCCACCCTACCTTCGCACGGGCACAAGCCGTGAGACACAATCCCTCGTTAGCTTGGATGTCAGGAGATTTAGCAGTAAGCCCGTTCAACTATTCAGTTCCAAAGGGGTAAATTTGCTTATCAGCTTACCAGATTTTCTGTTATTACGCAATGACATTAATGGAAGAATACTGTGCTGGGGAATGTTAGAAGAGAATAGGTGGACATGCTTAAAATCTTACTAATTAGTTTCAAGAGCACGATTTTACGCGTTCCGTGACGATCAGTTTTACTGAAATATCTTCGCTTTCCAGATCAACATATCAAACGCAACATCGACACGCTCAACGACACGGGCTACCTAACAAAGTTTTATACGGGGAGTCACTGCCCCAGCTGGAATGAAGCCATTACCCATTTCTATACCATTTTTGACTGAAAAGGTGTCCTCTTTCGTGTACTTTCCATTAAAAAATGGTGTCCCTTAAACAGTCGCTTTTCTTTGTATCCCTTCAAACTGCTTTGAATGCACTGTCCCTCTCCTTCTCCTTTTTTAAAACTGTATGTAATTGAAAAGATAAAAAACTAAGATATTTTCTCTGCATTTTGTTTTTTAACCCTTCCTTTTGCGTCCTTTTCTCAACTTTTCATATATACTTTTAATATTAAAATCGCTACCCTCCAATATCCCTAAAACCTTAGCTACCCCTATCTGGTGGAGCCAGTTGCCGTATACGCTATTATCATAGAGAGTTGCCCGGGCGCTCAGCTGAGTAATCTTCCGAAAGGCTGTGCTTCTCCTCGAGAAACCAATATTTTCTCTAATGTAAGTCCGGGCGCTAAAAGGTGCTTATATACTCATCCTTGAACTGGACAAAAAAGAGCTGGCTTTCGAGGGCTTGGCGTTGGGCACACCCCCGGGGACCCCGGGGGATACCGATAATGTCGATCGCGGGCTGTGTGTAAGTCTTTCAAATAAAGCCCAGTTTTCTATGCATTTGGAGGTTAGGGAATTTTGATCATCGAAAGGATGAATGATATTTGCCCAATACTTCGGTCTGCAACACAAACCTTCAACGGGAATAAAAAAGAACAAAAAAATGAATACAGATGTAAGATCAATTCGAACGTTAGGTTGCACATGCGAGATTTGAATACCCTGTAGTAACAGAAAAAGATACGTTACTGAAAAGATAAATGCCACTTACTGAGTTCAACACGTTGACTTACACCATGGGGTTCTAATGCCATTTTATTTTTGTTTTCTTTCTTTCATTTTCTGTCACTCTTCCTGCCGTAAGGATCAGTTTACTGTTTTAATTTTATAATTTGGACGGTACTGAAGATGTTACTGATCCAGGTCTACTAGAGATCCCGCTGACCCTCAGTAGTTTGTCATCGTGGTTTTGCCTTCACAAGTGTCCGTGGTACTGAGCTGCCCGGGGCAGGAATTTCATCGCGAAGTCTTGAGTGATTAATATTAAGTTTTTCGCCAGGTTGTCTTCGATGTTTGTACGAAATAGATGGGAAATTTATACCTCCTCCCCTTCAAACAAGGATGGGAAAATGGTGCATTTTGGCTTTTGCGCGGTGTCATCCTTGATATTTTTTTTGGGGGGGGGGGAAGGGGAGGTGGGTTACGGTTGTTGTTTCATTTTTCATGATTCTGTCCAAGATTGTAGTTCCATGGGGTCTTCCTATAATCTAATGATCTTTTGGCTTAAAATAAGCATGCCAGGAGCAGCAGACGAGATATCCCAAAATAATAGATAGCGCATGTGGCATAATTTTTTGTTTCTCAAACGTTTCGTAATCAGTTCGTCGAACTTTCAACCAGCCAACTGACATATCTTTTTACTTTTAGATTTTAGTTTTAGGAAGGATTTAGTGCATTATGCAGCACAAATCTTACTTACTCCAGAACTTTTCAGACACAGTGCTGCTGACATTCCCCACCCCCTCGTCTGGAGTATCCCCCTACCCTAGGACAAAAGTGAGTAACGCATTCTCCTTCACGCTGCGAGCAGGTACTGTGATGTGAGGAGACCGCAATGACCGCAATGGCCGGTTATTTTTAAATATTTCCAAAACATCCTCATTTCCTAAGAGATAAGTATTATATTTAGTCTTTATACATCGTTATGTAAGCCAACGTCGGTAAATTTGTTCTTTTATGTGCATGAATCCGATTGGTAGTAAGCTTTGAAACAGGTGATCCGAATGCTGTGAAACATT